GAACGCTCTGAGAGCGTTCCGGAACGCTCTGGAACAGATTCATCCTCGTCCTAGCCCCGTCCGAAGGTGCGCTCGCGCCACATCTTACCATCCTCCTCCTCCTCCTCCTCCTCCTTCTCCTCCTCCTCCTCCTCCTCAGCCTGGAACATATGCTGGGCATCGCCTCATCACGATGCCAATCTCAGGGATTCCCTGAGGTTTTGTGGGCGCATCCCTAAGATTGTCATCGCCTTTCGGCGTGTCAACCTTAGGGATAGGGACAAGTTCGAGGCTGGTGAACATCTGCCATCCTGCCCGCAAGCCCGGGCGTCGCATCATGTTTTCCGCACCGGGCGACGTCGCCCTGGCCGGGGCTCCTGGACCCTCGCAGATCGAGGAGGAGGAGGAGGAGGAGGAGGAGGAGGAGGAGGAGGCGGAGGAGGAGGAGGAGGAGGAGGAGGAGGAGGAGGAGGAGGGCTCCCGTCGTGATTCGTGGCAGTGCTGCAATTTGTTCGCAGCGTCGGATCTCATGGTATCCTTCCCGCACGTCGCGTCCCGTGGCGCCGGTCTTCCTGTGTCCGCCGACGGGTATCATAGCGGACCTGGAACCCCCGAAAGGACCCCAGTCAGGGCTTTCCTCGAGTTGGGTTTTTTTTGTTCCTCGGTTTGGGTTTGTTTTGTCGGTTTGGGTTTTCCTCGGTGTGTCTTCGGTGTCCTCACCTCAGAAGGAGTCCCTCCCTTCGTGTCATCCGCAGTCAGAGGAGAGTAGCTGTGTGCGTTGGAGGAGGGAGGGGAGGAGGTGGCGGATGAGAAAGAGGACGAGCAGGAGGGAGGGAGGGAGGGAGGGAGGGAGGGATGGCCTTGCACAGCCACGCGCCAGAGAAGCATCACACCAATACCTGGACGCCCATCGAGGTCAGCAGCACTACAAGGGGGGGTCTTAGAACAGCGCGCCTGCACTGTGAATCAGCCTCCGTCACTGAAGCACTGCCGATTCCATAAACAAGACCGCGATCCTTTTGGTAACAGGACGCTCTCGGTGTCTCTTGAAACATGTTCTGCCAATACCCCGGGGTCAAGCCCGAAACATAATGCGTGCAACAAATGGCGTGTTGTGAAAACCCAAGGTACCAAACACACAGAACCCATCGTGCCTGATTGCCGCAACAAGGACACGTTATACGACGTCAGTGGGACCATAGCAATAGACTGCACGAATCGCAGAATTCGCGCAACAATTAAATTCAGCGTGACCTAGCCAACCCCCTAGCCCTAGCCCTGATCTGCCACGTTTGCTCTCTGTCGTCGATTGTGCTTTGCCTTTGGTGACTTGACCGCTTCTTGCTGGACGTGCCCTCGTAACCATACCAGTGCGGATTCTGGGGCAGGCGTGCAAGTAGAAAAGGATAGACAGTCACACCGACGGTGAACGGAGACTCCTACAACCATGACGAAATATGAATCATCTACACGTGCTCCGCAAATACACAAACATGCCTGCAATCACAAATGCTAGAAGAGTGTACCACCTGCGCCGGGGCGTAGATGGGAGCCTCCACCGCCAAAGCGCAATGAGTGGTTTCACATGCCCCCCCCAGTGCTCGCTCCTTCAATGCTGAACCAGCACTCTTTTGCACATGCTGACGACTAGACCAGGCCTGCTGCAAGTCAACGCAACGGCGTCGACCTATGAATACCAGAACTCCGCGCTCTTCTCGCGCGCTCTTAAACTCAAGTCGAAGGCAATCCCGCGTTCCTCCACCTCCATCTCTCTCACCCCTATATCTGATTCCTCTATCTCACTGCTCCTCCACGAGGGTAATCCCGCGTTCCTCCACATCCATCTCCCTCATTCCCATCTATTTTACGCGTCTAGCAGCAGCCCGTTCCCCTCTGGTTGTAAGGACTTGGCATGTGAGCAGCAAGTTCTGGTGATCCTTTAGACCCTATGGCTTGGCTACGTATGGATCCCTACTGCTTCGTGACCCACTTGCCATGTGGGCCGAACTTTCTGATGGGCGCTTGGATCCCAATGGCTTCGCTTTGTCTGGGCCACCTGTTGCTTCCCTGCCGACCGACCTGTCCTGTGGCCATTCGGATCCAGACAGCCTGGCTTCGTATGGATGCACCGATGGCTTCCCTGTGGACCGAACGCTCTGGTGGCCGCTTGAAACCCAATGGCCTCGCTTCGTACGGTTCCTTATGGCTTCGCGCCCCACCGGCCCTGTGGGCTGCACTTGCCGGTGGCTGCTTGGATCCCCGTGGCCCGGCATCCTATGGATCCCTACGGCTTCCCATCCCGCTGGCTCTGTGCCTTGCACCTTCAGGCGGCCGCTCGGACCCTCCTGGCTTCACCGCCAGTGGATCCGCAAGGCATCCCGCTCCAATTGGCCCTGCGTGTTGTTCTCTCTGAAGGCCGCTTGGATCTCGTTGCCTTGGCCCCCTTCTCCTGTTTTCCTTCCTGCCTGCGGTGGGACGCACAACGATACTGGCACTAAATGTCCTCCTTGGAGGCGTGCGCCCAACCCGAACATGCAGTACAACCATCTTGTAGTATATCGTTTCCCGAGCTGTATGGCCAGAAAGCGCCCGCCACGGAGCTTGCACTATGATACCAGATGTCTCGGTGCGCGCGCGTCGCCCCTGGGAGAGCGACGCTCACATAGCAGTAGTACGTCGGCGTGACACCAATGACGCGGCCCTCTCCTGAACCGATGAGAGGCGGCCGGGGTGGGGTTCGGATTCCGCCACGTGTTCACGAGAAAAGAAGATAGTCGTGGTCCATCACATATTCCGCCTTACAACAATTGTCGGGTTGGGAAACGTCCCGAGTTTGCCACCAAACATGAAGTTGGGAGTTGGTCAACGTTAGGATCAAACTCGCTGAGCATTACTTTCCAAATGCAAGCGCGTATAATTTCTCACCGGGTACCAACTGCGAGGCTGGGCATCGTATCAATTCCGAGGTTGTCGAGTTGGCGATCGTATCGATTTCGATGTTGACGTATCAAAGTTTGAATTGGGGCACGCACTGATGATGTCCCCGGGAGACCTTTTGTTGGTCGGAAACGTATCGATTGTTCCGTCGGCTATCAATCTTGGGGTTGGGAAAGGCATTGAGAACTCCGCCGGCCAGCGCTGCCCCCCCTGGGCGTCTACGCGAGCGGACGACGTCGTGTGCTCATGAGTGAGGGAAGCGCCCGCGCTCGGGCCATCGCGCTGTCTTGGCGCGTAACCAAGGGTCCGATCACGACGCGCGAGGAATTGCGTTGCTGGCATCGCACCCGCGATCCCATGTCCCCGGAGTCCCGACAGGCCCCAATCACTACGGCGCACGCCCAGCTCGTCAGATCGCAAAGGCCCCGCGCCTGCCGCGTTCCACTGCGCGCCACGCGCACCAGACCCGAGCCCAACGCCCAGTGGAAGGTCACCCGCGGGTCATACTGCGCCCCGTATAGAAGGAAAGTAAGCGTGGGTGCCCAGGAACCAGGGACGAAACAGAGGCTCAACGTACAACGCACGACAACCGCAAGCAACAAGAAGCTCTATGGCAAGTGGAGTGGCGAGTGAATCTAGCACGAAAGCTGAGCGACAGCGTCATGTCATACAATAGTACAGTAAGCCAGCATGTCAAGGCTTCGGGATGATGCGATTGGATGGTTACTCGTGTTTCGTTGGTGACCGTTGGTGAAGGTCGCACATCCACTGTTGGGTTCAGTGAATTTGAAGTGCGTACTTGGTTACTTTACTTCTTACTCGGCATTCCATATGTTATTGCGCGCGTAGTATGCCATGATGTCGGCGCGTGTGTGCGCGCGTGTGCACGTGTGCGTCGGCGCATGCGTGCACAAAAGCAATGGAACAAGTGTACGTCTGGTGGTGTTTGGTGTCTTGGCTGCGCAAGTAAACGAACCGCCCTACTTGCTTAAGCAAGCTACTAAGAGCTCTTAGACCCTCAAGCATTAGGGGTGATGCGTCAGTCCAAATTTGGCTCGAAGGCTCCAGGGGAAAGCGGAAACCAAACACCATTGAAATCCAGACGCGTCCTTCTGTCTCGCAGTGAGTCGCCCAGGCCAAATGCACGCGCACAAAATGCGCGACATCAGTGATATCGAAATCAAGCCCAGACTCTGCCCAGACACCGCTACGTCCTCAACAAGGGGGTCGCGCCGAGCCGCTGGGAGTCGTAGGGCGAGTTCTGCTGGGGCGAGGCTCGGGGTCGTGCTACGGGATCGTGCTGGGGCATCGTGCTCAGGGGGTGTCCCGGGGGGTGTGCCGGGGAGATGTGCTGGGAGGGGGGGTGTGCGGCTTTGTGCGGGGGGCGTGTGCTGGGGCTGCTTGGAGATCGTGCCTTCCCTTTCCCTCCTCCTCCTCCTCCTCCTCCTCCTCCTCCTCGCCCACTTCCTCTTATTCCTCCCCCCTCGTCGCAGAGATAAAACAAATAATGCAATTCTATACAAATGCGCGCATCCATCAGCCGCATGAAAATGCTCCACAATTCATTTTTCCATGGCCAACACGTTCCGAAACTCATGTTCTCATGGCCGACACTTTCCGCAACTCGCATTGCACGGCCAACACGCTTCGCAACATGTTCTGCAACGTCCATTTTCTTACCAACACGTTCTTCAACATGTCCTACACCACTTCGTACGACTCCTCTACAAAATCAACCAAATCATCTACACAACTCATCTACACTGGCCCACGGTAAGCCAACGTGAGCGGCTTAGTCTTATCATTAGAACGAATCAGTATCATGACTGGTCGCTCCTCTGAACATGGGATCGGAGGATCGCGCAGCATCGCCGACGCATCGGCGATGCGCCTGCGACGTCGGCGATGCATCGGCGACGTCGGCGTGGAGAATATGAGGCTCCGCATCGAGCCCCATCGCCCGTATACCGGTGGTGCGGCGCACTCCACCGACACGATTGACTTCGACCGAGCTCGCACAGCCTGGAGAAGAGAGACTGCCGCATCGCAAATGCTCTCCGAACCTGGGAAAAATGATTTGCCACATCTTGTTGCCTTCCAGGGCCAATGGCCGAGAGGTGCCGCGTGCCACGGCCTCGTGGGCCCTGGAAGCAATGGTCACATCCGACAGCCGATCGGGCCTGTGGAACAAAAACGGCACACGGTACTTACACCGCTGCCTGGAGTAAGGAGAAGTAGAACTGCCACATGTGCACTCCTGGGCGGTCGTCGAGGGGTCACCGCACAGAGTTGCTGGGACCTGCCACGTGGCGCGCCTCATCCTCATGCTCATCCTATCCCTCCTCTCCTCTACCTCCCAAAAGGTATCCCTCCTCCATCGCCTCCCCGTCCTTCTTGTCCTCTCTCGTGCCAAACTTATCCGCATGACCATGCTCCTCCTTCGCTGGCTGGAAGCCAGGACCACGAGTCGCGGCTGCCGAGGACCCGACCAACAGCAGCCAACGAGCGCCCGACCAGACCCTCGAAGACGCGACCTCGACCCGACAAGTCCACTTGAACAGACCATCGGAAGAGGGCCGGCTCAGGCAACGGCGGCCCTCCTCCTCCTCCTCCTCCTCCTCCTCCTCCTCCTCCTCCTCCTCCTACTGCTCCTCCACCTCCTCATCCTCCTCGTCCTCCTCCTGCTCCTCCTCTTCCTCCTCCTCCTCCTCCTCTCTTCCTCCTCCTCCTCCTCCTCCTGCTACTCCTCCTCCTCCTCCTCCTGCTCCTCCTCCTCCTCCTCCTCCTCACGCTTCTCGTCCGGCCTGGGTCCTCCTGGACGCGTCTCGTCGCCACGGCTGGATCCGCCTCGACAAACATGTCAGGACGGAGCCTTCTGGGAGAGGCCCAGGGACAACTCGTTCCGGAAGCGGAATCGCCCCTGTGTGGAAGCGCCGTGTGTTGAGCAGGGACCGACCGTCCCAGCATTCCTGTAGGCCTACCACGACATGTTCTTGGACCCCCAATCCCTCGAATGGCAAAAACGATGTTCTTAGAACATGCGCCCGACGTGTTAAACAAGACAATATCGACCCGAAATGTTCGTGTGCCCCACAAAAGGTCCTTAGCACACTCTTCCGTGGGCCTATAGGCGAGCCAGGACGCTTCGCCACTGCTTGAGTGTGTGTGTGTGGGCAAACTGGGACATCGCGCACGAATATATGGTGATGCATGCGCCCGTGCACGTGGACGCACGCAGCTTTGGCTTTGGACACGCAAACATGTGTCGACGACTGCCCTTCAGACGGCCGCAACTCTGCGCACACCCACAGTCGCGCTTTCGCTTGGGAGTCGGAGCCGCCAGGGCGCACTCCAGTCTTCCTGGACCATGCGCCCCTCTGCAAACGTCAACAAGACCCGGAACTACGCATTTTCCCGCCAACAGACGCGCTGCCCGCCGCCAGAAACACAATCGCAAAGCGCTGCGGGTGATGGAACAAGGCAGACCGCTGTCCAATCTGCGGAGGGCCACTTGAAACAAGCTGCAGCGCGCCTCGCGCAGCGTGATACAATGTATTGAATATGCGATTTGAAAAACAATTCGGACCGACTCAGAGGCCTTGCTGCTGGGGATGGGCCTGAGAACCAAGAGAAGTCCGCACTGTGTACAAATGACAGCGGATGCCATGGCTCTGCTATGCAGACGACGATGGCATGCTCTGGCAGCACGTCGGGGCGGACAAAAGGGGGAGATAACAAAGGGAGGTTAGCGAATCAGCTAGCGTAGCTGATTTTGCTGGCGCCTCCTGACGCCAGAGGCGGCCATCTCATGTATCGAGGAAACCACGCCTGGCGGCGGTGCCGAAACCAGCTGCATGCAGCACATGTTGCAACCCTCCCTTTCCCTGACCCCCTGTCGTCGAACCCGACGGTACCTTTTACACAGCCGCAGCCATAGTGAAACGAACATATGCGGATGCTGATCATCTCCGCAACCTGACTGAGGAGGGGCAACGATAGCGGGGGACTGGCGTATGGGGGGGGTCATCGATCTGGAATCGGCGATACATCGCCGATAGATCGGCGATAGGGCCCCGATAGTGAGTCTGCACGTGACAGGCAGGTTGGGGCTATCGGGCCCCCTATGCCTATCCCCCCCTTCTCGTTGCCCCGACTGACGCACCAGGCGAAACGACCGAAACCTGACCTTTCTCCGCAACTCCTTGAGTGCAGGCCTGCAAAAACTGCGGCCGATAAACCCATCCGAGGACCAAGAAAGGGCAACTCGCTAATCGACTTGGCAAGGTGGGGCTTCTAGCAACCTCCAAACCCAGACATCCGATGTGCTGTTCTTGTTTCCGCACGGGGTCTCCAGAAATCTCGCCCCTCCGACCCTCTCCCAGGGTCCGGTCTTCATCCCGAGCTGATCTTGACGGTCCCGCGGCCTGGCAATGGCACCAGGAGGCCGAAAACGGCCAAACACCGCCCGTCCTGTTTTCGTCACGGCGCGAGCATGTCTGGCAATATCTTGGACAATCGCGGGACTGCACCGCTCACAGCGAGTTAGCCCGCGACGAAGGGAGGCCTCAGACGGCACTCTCGGCCATGGCCACCTGGGTCGCGTCGGCTCCCTCGTCATCCTGCGGACTGAGGGGGGAGCACTCGAGCACCCGAGCCCCTGCAGATGAAACAGCTCGCAGATGAAACAACTCTTTTTCCTCCTCCTCCTCCTCCTCCTCCTCCTCCTCCTCCTCCTCCTCGGAACGACAGAACATTGCACGTAAAGAATGGAGGCGAAGACCGACAGCAGTTCCTGTCAAGTTTGAAGAGGACTCGCCGTCTGTGCCACCGCGGACGTTGTCCATTCGACCGATAAGGGCGTCTGTCCAACAACAACCGCAGTTTGTTTGGGACATCATGTGCCGCTACTCCCCGGACCGCTCCTGGGGTGCGCTCCGATAGCACATTCGAAGCGGATCTGTCCGTGGCGACGAGGGCCTCCGAGGAGGCCAACAGAAAGGGAGAAAGGAGGACCTTTCTCCCTCTTTGTAGAAAGGAGAAAAGCAGAAAAGGAGAAAGGGAGAAAGGAGGAGAAAGGACAAAAAGGGAGAAAAAGGGAGAAAGGAGAAAGTAGGAGAAAAAGGGTAGCGGTATTGGGACCTTTCCCTCCTCTGAGTATTGGCCGATGCTGGGCCGCTGGTGGCGTTCAACCTCGGACGCCCTGCGGCCAGGTCGCTGCCTCGTGGGGGTGCGAACTAACGGGGGCGAAACATGAATGGAAGGGGGTTGCCTTCTCCTCTTTGCCGGCGACGTCGCCGTCGTGGCAGCCGCATCCCTCAACTCCAGGAGGAGGAGGAGAAGGAGGAGGAGGAGGAGGAGGGAGGAGGAGGGGGAGGAGAGGAGGAGGAGGAGGAGGAGGAGGAGAGGAGGAGGAAGGAGGAGGAGGAGGAGGAGGAGGAGGAGGAGGAGGAGGAGGAGGAGGAGGAGGAGGAGGAGGAGGAGGAGGAGGAGGAGGAGGAGGCGGACGAGGAGGAGGAGGAGGAGGGAGGAGGAGGAGGAGGAGGAGGAGGGAGGAGGAGGAGGAGGAAGGAGGAGGGGCCAACGGGGCCCAAAATATGAATTGGGGGAGAAAGGCGCCCTTCTCGGGCCCCAAAGGCCCCCTTTAGGACCCGAGAGGGTCCTTGAAGGGGCCCTCGCCCCTCCGCTGATCGCCCCCCCCCCCCCCCCCCTTCAGCTTATGTCGGCCTTGTCCCCCTACAGGGGGATTTTCGTCGAACCATAGAAAATACCCAAAAAATGCTCCCCAAAATCAAACAATACTCAAACATAGTCCCCAGACTATTTTTGTATTATTTTTTGACTATGGTTTAAAATATGTTTTATTTTTTCTTCGAAAATGCCCCTGTAGGGGGGCAGGCCCGACTTAACCTTAAGCGCCCCCCAACCTTGTCGAGTCACCACTAGGCGGGTTTGGCGACGAGCGAGGGGGGGACGTGAGGAGGAGAAGGCCCTCTCAGAAGGCGGTGGGATCCCTTAGAAGCCCTCGCGCCCTCCGAGAAATTTCTGTTGGTGTCTTCGGGGACTTAGAAAACTTCTCGCAAGGCCGGGGGACTTCCCAGCCTTCTGAGGATTGGGGTCGGCAAAGAGGGGGGCGTCCAAGAGAGGGGGGGGCGCAAATCATGGCCGGCGATGTGCGCGGCCCAGGGGGGGGGCGCAAGGACAGAAGAGGCGCCCTGAAACCTGGGGAGATCTCATGGCCCACGCCATGAGATCCACCCCCCCTAGTCATCAGCCCCCTCTTGGCCGTCCCCGATTCTGAGAAGGCCTTCTCCGTCTCGAGGAGGAGGAAGAGGAGAAGGAGGAGGAGGAGGAGGAGGAGGAGGAGGAGGAGGACGAGGGGGACGAGGAGGATACTCCTCCCCCCCCTGGGGCTCGCCACTGGGCGGGTCGCCGCCTCCTCGAGGAAGCGCACCCCCTGCCTCGAGGGACGCGGGCCCCCCTATGAGGAGCACTCCGAGAGCCCTGCGGCAGAACGACCCCCAAAAACGTCCAGGCGCCTCCTCACAAACTGGAGATGGGGCGACCCGATTTCCAGGAGGGTCTCCTCGACGGTGGGGATGATCCAGGATCCATGAACGATCCTGGAGTATGTACTCCTTAGGGGCCCTAACGAGCACTCCAAGAGCCCTGCGGCAGAACGACCCCCCAAACGTCCAGGCGCCTCCTCAAACTGGAGATGGGGAGAGACCTGATTTCCAGGAGGATCTTAGGGGAACGAGGAATGCCATAAGCATCAAAAACTTGGAGGTGCGCGCGGATTTCTCGGATCGGCGCTGGACCCCCCTGGCAGCGCCGGAGGGCGCCAGGGGCGGCGCCGGAGGCGCCGCCAGGGGGGTCCAGCGCCGATCCGAGACATCCGCGCGGACCTCCGAGTTATTATGTTCATGTCATTCTGCGTCCCCCTAGATCTACCCGAGGGGAGGGAGGATCCAGGATCGGTGAGCGATCCAACCGATCCAAGATCGCCTAGAGGGAGGATCTCCCTCGAGGGCAGCGAGGAGGGGACCTCCTCGAACTTCCCTCCTGGAGCCCTGATTTTCGGGATGAGCCGGTGGCCCTCCCAGTGGCGACCTCCCCCTCGGCAGTGTCCGAGTGTCTGGCCCCTGTTCGAGACTTCCCCGGAGTCCGACTGGGGCGACCTGGCTGTGCCATCGAGAGGGGCCCAGGGAGACACAGACAGATAGACACACAAATCCCAGGATCCCCCATAGTTTCACACATCTTCTGGACCTTCGTCTTCCCCCACAACTTTCCCCATTCTCCCATATCATCCTGGGCATCGACGATGATTCGCGTCTGCGTCTGCTGTTTTCCCTACTGACCATTGACAGCTCATCATGGCCACAGGGCCGCCGCAGCACCGCGCGAGCGCCTGCTCGAGGAGGCTGGCCAGGCGCAAGAGGCTCTCCATGATGTCCCATCTCCATGGCTGTGTCCGACGGCGCCCCCACTCGTCCCGATCGGGGACCACGCTCAGCTCCCCCCCCCCTCGTTCAGAGGCGGCAGTCGGTCTCGGCATCGAGGTCTCCCTCCTGGAGAAGCTCGCCCCCTCCTCCTCTCTCCTCCTCCTCCTCCTCCTCCTCCTCCTCCTCTCTCCTCCTCCTCCTCCTCCTCCTCCTCCTCCTCCTCCTCCTCCTCCTCCTCCTCCTCCTCCTCCTCCTGGTGCAGCTCGACGCGGGCCTGGCCACCGTGCCTGCGGCGTGCGACAAGATGCACCCCTGGAAGTATCCTCCGCTTCCTGTCCTGAACCTGCTGCAGCGGCGGCCTCGGCCGCGGCCTCTCGCTCGAGGCTCCGCGCGTGCTCTAGCACGCCGACTCTTGTGATCCACCGGCCCATTCGTGACCTGATCCACGACGACTCGGGGGGCTACGGGATGCATCCCTGTAGGTATCCTCCGCTTCCCGTCCTGAACCTGCTGCAGGGGCGGCCTCGGCCGCGGCCTCTCGCTCGAGGCTCCGCGCGTGTTCTAGCAAGCCGACTCTCGTGATCCACCGGCCCACTCGCGACCTGATCCACGACGACGCGGGGGGCAGCCCTCCCCCCAAGAGGGCGGAACAACCACCCTCGTGATGAGCACTCCGACGAGGGAAGCCAGTGGTAAACGCACCCAGTGCATGGATCGAACAGGGGCAGGGCTGTCTAGTAGATGTCCAATGCAGTGCCGTTTAGCAAAAGCCGATTGTCGGGCCGGGGCGTCTCTTCCTCCCATGACTCCCGTCGCCCGCCCCACGAGCGCGATCCCGCCCTCCGGCCTCCGCTAGGGGGCCAGGTGCGAACCCTACCCCTACCCCCCACGATTTCTGAGGGAGAGGGTGGGGTTCACTTCGCTCGGGAGCTCCCGAACGGAGTGAACCCCACCCTCCCCCTCAGACGGCTCTCAGACGGCCCAAGACCGGCCCCAAGGCCGGTCCACCAAGTCGGCCCAAGGTAGCCCTCAGACGGCCCTCAGTGTCCCTAACGAAGACCTAAGGCGACCCGAACCCAAGGAGCTCCCAAGAGCAAGAGCCTCCGAGGCGACCCCAAGACGCTGCCAAGAGGCTCCCAGAAGCCCCCGAGAGACCCCAAGAGGCACCCTACATGCCCCTAGGGCTTTCGAGAGGCCCGAAGTGTCACTCGTGATAGCCTCCCGTGTCCAATCGAATAGTCGCCACCCAGAATGCTACGCGGGCACGGTCGTGGGAATCGCCGCAGGCAGCTGGATACAGTGGCGAAGCTCAAAGATGTCTCATGAAACAAGATGCTAGGGCACGTTCCATAATCGGGACGGGATTCTGGGGGGGGGCTCTACCTTCCAGACAAGGACCCTCATCGTTTCAGACATTCGCGAGGGGGACCATCGGACAAATCGGCGGATAACTGAAAGAGCGTCTGCTGACAATGGATTTTAATCTCAAACGCGACTACAATTGTAGATCAAAACAAACATTGACGAGAACCACCATGTGATAAATACGCCACACACAACACAATTGTGGTACCGTGTGCAATGAATCTTGTGATGTCTGCGGCTGGAAACTTCGACCATTCTGCATCGCGAGAACTGATACTGTCGGAATGAGCGACGCATGCAAGCTGTAACCCACGACGACGTATAGACTAGGGTCATGAGACGTTGACTTCCCACCGGAGTGGCATACTACAAGTAGGGTGTGCCCCGACCTACTTGACGCTCCTCGGCGTGTGAGATAAATGCCCTTCCCCAGCCCCATCCCAAGGGAGCCCCTTCCCGCTGGCTTGACACGGCTTGGGACGGGGGGATCCTGCCAACGGTGCCACGGCATTTCTTTGGGAGACGCAGAGGTGCTTCCAGAATTGCACACATCTTTCCAAATGTCTCCAGATGCCACCCTAGTCGCACAAGATGGCCAAACTTCGCCCTCACCTGCCTCCAGCATGTGCCCAACTAGACGCCACCAAGACAGCTCGATGTGGCCAAAAGGCTCCCAAACATCGTCCCCGAGAGGCCAACACGAGTTGTGTCCTTATGTTTGTCGTATGGCGTTTGCACAATCGTGTGCCCAAGACGATCCAAGACAGGCCCAACACCTCCCAAGAGGGGCCCCAGAGGGGCAGAACACGGCCAAAGAGGGGCCCACGACATCCCGAGAGGAGCCCTGGATGGGCGCAAGACGGCCCAAGACGTCATCAAGTCGGTCGCAAATCATCTCCGAGAGGCCTCCAAGACGACTCCAATACGAGCCATACACAGTCCCAATACGGCCCACGACGGTCCCAGCAAAACGGCCGAAGAGGCTAGCCACGACGACCACGGCGATGCTCCACTACGACCAGCCCAAGACGTCCCAAGAGGGCCCCATAGAGGCCCATCGGACGGCCTCCAGCTAGCTTGCAGCGCGGTCAATGGGGGGCCCACACGACAAGATCGCCGTACACTCGCCGGCCCAACGGGCCAGATGCGTGCTACGACCTCCAATAACTGGTTAACAATATTTTTAGTTCGCGCGCGCGGGGCGGCCCCTGGGGGTCCCCGGACGAAAAGTACCCCGACAAGGTCCCGGGCGGTCCGACACAGAGATGGTGTTCCTCCTGGGCGCGGCCTCTCAGGCCCCCAGAACGCACCAAGAGGGCCCCAAGAGGCCCCCAAGACTGCCCACGAGGCCTCCGGGACGCCCAAAGAGCGCTCCAAGACGCCGAAGATGAGTCCCAAGACGGTCCAAGAAGCCTTCAAGTGGCCTCCAAGAGGCCTCACAAGAGGACCCCGAGAGGCGAAAATCATCAAGTGTACTATGGCTTTGGAAGGATTTGGGCCTAGTCGCCTTTTAGGCTTCCTGATGCTCCAAGACGGCCCAAGAGGCCCCCAAGAGCGCCCCAAGACGGGCCAAGAGGCTTCCAAGTGGGCCCCAAGAGGACCCAAGATGGCCCCGAGACGGCCCAAGCGGCGCCCAAGACGGCCCAAGAGAGCCCCAAAACGGCCCCAAGAGGGGCCCAAGAGGGGGATCACGAACCGAAAACTCGAGCCTTCCGCCCCAAGAGGGCCCCAGGAGGCCCCGAGAGGCCCCCAAGAGGCCCCAAGATGCCGCCAAGATGCCGCCAAGAGGCCCCCAAGAGGCCCCCAAGAGGCCCCCAGGAGGCCCCAAAAGAGGCCCCAAAGGCTTCAAACATGCCTCCCAGGCGCCCCCGAGCGGCTTCTCAAAAGACCCCAAGAGGCCTCCCAAATCAGCATCTTGACGACGACCCTGTTTGGCCCCAAGAGCAACACAAGATGCCGACGAGAGGCTTCCTCCTCCGCCCCCTCCTACTCTTCCTCCTCCTCCTACTTATCTTGATCCTCCTCCTCTCCTTCTCAGCCTTTTCTCCTCCCCCACTTTCCTTCCCCATCCTCATCTTCCTCCTCGGCGGCGCCACACTGGCCCCGAGCACACGGCGAAGCAGTAGCGATCATGCAGTATGGGCCGGCGGAATGAGCGAAGCGATTGAATGATAGGGTTGCACACGACGTGACCCCTCGTGAGAGGGACACGCATGATGCGGTCTCGCACGAATTGTGGGACCCACGCGATAAGGACCCGCACGATTGGGCTCCAAAGAACGGGCTCTCAGACGACGCGGGTCCACGCAAAGACTTCCCAGGCAACTGAGACGTCATGGAAGACGAGGCCCACACGATAGGGACGCGCGAGAGAGTTCTACACGGACGGCTTCTGCACGACAACGCCTTTCCCAGTCCTTCTACGGTGCCTTCGCGCCATGCCCTCGTGATGTTCCTGTTTTCTTATACCCATCCCCGGAACGTGGCCTCGAACGCGCGTAGCATACGATCAACACGCATGGCCTCGAACACGCCATGGCCTCGAACACGTGCCTGGGCACATCATGGTGTTGGTATTTCGTGAGACGACTTGCGTCCCTGACCGCCCTGGGGGGTTCTGTTCTGGACCCGCCACGGAACACCCGCCCGAGGCGACCAGAAACGCCCGGTCGCGGCCGCACACCCCCGAGTCCCACACGCAAACACACACACAAACACACAACCCCCCCACACACAAACACACACACACACACACACGCACATACACACACACACACACACACACACACACACACACACACACGCACATACACAAACACACAAACACACACGCGCACACATACACACACCAACACACACACACACAATTGAGCCCCTTCCGACAGGGACCACTACGAAAGATGTCCGAAGTAGTGGGTTGTGCTCGACAGCATCGGAAGCCCTCGGGAAAGCTGCACTGCATGCGCGAGCCAGCCGAACGGCCCCAAGGTGGCGGGCGGACGTGGCGCTCGCATGTGAATCAAGTTGTTCCGCCCAACATACTCGCTGGCACACGGCATACTATATTCACCAAGACCTCCGCTAGATTACCCCTTCCTTTCCCTACACGCAACCACGTATGCATCCATGAAGCGAGCACGAACGCGCATCTGCAATCCGAGAGTGAAGAAGAATCCCAAAGGAAAGAAAATGAGGTCCTTCAACTTGTGGAGATAACAATCGGGACACTCGTTGTAACGGCAAGGTACGCAGCTATAGACCACGGAATTCACAGGCATCTGCTTGTCGCACACCGCGCAAGTGTGGACGGGCGCCGTGGACACACGGGGCTTCAGCTGGTGGCCCTCCGAACAGGTGACCACCGTCTTGTTTGTGTGCTCTGGCGCACAGCAGGCAAACCTTGGCGAGACCGCTTGCTTTGAAACGGTTGGCCAGAATTTGTCTCTCCATGCAAGGAGCCCCATCAGCAACTGCTACGTCAATGGTGAGTCGCCGAAATATGCTGGCATTCCAGACGACAAGGCTGAACATACTAGCGGCTGTCACGGCGTGGCGCTGCAGAACGCTGGCAGCAGCGAAACGAAGAAAGGTGAGGAGGAATAAGGGGAGAGAGACGGGCTTTGGAACGGCTGGTAAAATTGTGGAATACCCGACCATCTTGCTGATTCGCAAGAAGTTCAAGAAGTGATGCACTGGGCCACACTTCGAACTGGAGTAGACAGCACCCTGTAAAGGGGGGAAGCCGAAAGATATGGGATGGGACCTCATGGAACATGGAAATCCTGTAGCTCCCGGTGAGGTGCCGCGTCGGGCACAAGGAAAAACACGACTTGTGCGGACTCGCGAAGTCCCCCCAAGACACACCGTAAAAAAGCTGGGGGCACCTCCTACAGGCGCAGCTTGAGCGAAACAATGAAGCATAGTCCAACCAAAAACAAACGAGTGCCCCCCCCAAAGAAAACGTCGCCTGAATATGTTTTAAACTATGCTTGAATATTCCTCCTGTAGACGGACACGCCCGACGTGAGGCCAGGGGCACCTTCCGCAACCATCGAATTGGGGGCCCGTGGATCCTGGCGCGCTGGCGCCAGGAGGAGAAATAGGCGGAGAAGGAGGAGAAGGAGGAGAAATAGGAGGAGGATAAATAGGAGGAGAAGGAGGAGGAGGAGAAATAGGAGGAGGAGGAGAAATAGGAGGAGAAGGAGAAGGAGGAGGAGGAGGAGGAGGAGGAGGAGGAGGAGGAGGCCAGCTGCACCTCCTGGGTCGGGGGCGGAAAGCGCCTCGCGAATCCACTCGCCTGTTCATTCACGTGACCTGTCGCCGAGCCACCCGACGGAAACCACGCCCGCGCTTCCTCGACAGATGGCCCCGAGGGAGCCCCAGGAGGGCCCGAAGGCGTTTCCCCACACGCGTGCCCCGAAGCTCTCCAGAAGGTCCTTCGGGAGCTCTCCCCGGGTCCTTCTAGAGTTCTTCGAAAGGCCTTGCCACTCCCTTCTGGCGCCCTGCTATACGGGTCTGGGATTCCACAAGTGGCCCCGAGGGAGCCCCAGGAGGGTCCGACGAATGCTCCTCTTGCTCAGGTGTGGCAAGGGGATAAAAAAGGTGGCGGGGCAGTGGCAGCAGCAGCGAGCCCCAGCACGGAGGGGCGTAAGGCGGCCCAGGAGGCTACCGAGACGGCCCCCAGAAGGCGCCCGACCGAGAGGACCCCCAGAGAGCTCCAACTCGCCCTCAAAACGGCCTATGAGGGCCCAAGAGATCATAACCAAATCCCAGGAAGCTTGAAGAAAGAAAGCCGTTAGATAATGCCAGGAGGGTCCCAACGAAGCCCCAAAAGGCATTGCAAAACCTTCCGCTCGCCCTCTCCACCCATGCGCTCACTCTCTCTCTCTCTCTCTCTTCTATGTTTTTGCTTTTCTCTCTCTCTCTCTCTCTCTCTCTCTCTCTGCAGATTTCCCCTGAACACCTGTCTCCTCCTGCCTCTCCTCCTCCACCTCCTCCGCCTCCTCCTCATCCTTATCATTCCTCCGCATCGTCACCCTCCTTGTTACCGAAGCCACCAAGCTCCAGTTGCTGCTGCGTGCAGCTGGGTAGAGGGGTTACACATGACACATGACGGTTCTTCATTCTGGCTGCATCTGCACTCAACCTCGGGTCCATGCCGAACACTACTGCTTCTGGGTTGGCACTTCCTCTCTAACACTTCCATCCTGGCGAGCTGAGGCCCGCGCCAAGAACTCGTTCTCCTCTTTTCCTTCTCCGCTTTCACTCTCGCACGGAATGCCTCCGTGGACCGTTCGCGGGCCTTCCGCTCACGCGCGAGCGTCTCCTGCGAATGTGCGCGGGCGGGATCGGGAAAGGGAATGGCCCTTCTCCCCGCCATCGCTCGGACGTCCATTCCCTGTGTCTTTTTCGGTTTCGTGCGTGGTTTTTTCGCCAAATGATCAAGGATGCTCCTCGATGGCCCTCGCCGAAAGAAAAATGCACACGTCCGAGCGATGCCAAGCTCCTCCCCGCCAGCACTCGGACCCCATGTGGTGACTTCTGACACTCACGAAGGTGTTCGCCCTGACCTCTCTAAGCATGTGTTTGTTAGATGCTCGGTCTGGCAACGTCCATGGAGCCACTCGCTCCACTCATGCGTGGATGCTGTGCCGAACATCCGTCGACTTGAGTCGACCTTGAGTCGAGCTAGAATCGAACTAATATCGAACTAGAATCGAATAAATTCGCTAGGGGGACCCCAGGAAAAAAAAGTCCCAAACACGAGCGACGAATGCTTGTGTGACAATCCAGGGCAGTATGAGTTTCACTAATCCGAAAACGGCAACTACGAAGCACACGTCAATTGGCACCGCATACCTGCCAGCACCGAAACGACTGCCGCCCTGCCGCCACTTCCACGATCCCAATGACGTCGAGCGAAGCTGGCCAAACTGTATACATGATCCTGGGTCGAGGGCTCACAGGCCTCCCCCCCCAGATGGAATTGGTCCCAGGGTTCCATAGGCCCCCCCCCCAAATGGCCAGATGGGATGGAGGGGGGACGACGACGCCGACGCCGACGCCGACGCGGACGCGGACGCGGACGCCGACCCCGACGCGGAAGCGGACGACGACGACGGACGGCGGACGGCGGACGCCGGGCTACGGGCGATGGACGACGCTGACGCCGACGCCGACGACGACGACGGACGGCGGACGGCGGACGGCGGACTACGGACGCCGCTGACGCCGACGCCGACGCCGACGACGACGCCGACGACGACGCCGACGCCGACGCCGACGCCGACGCCAACTCCGCCGCCGCTGCCGCCGACGACGACGACGACGAAGACGACGACGACGACGGAAGATGATGGACGACGACGGACGACGAGGGATGACGACGGACGACGACGAACCACCCCACACCCACAGGGGAAGGCGGGGGGTGAAACGGCACCCTCCACCACGACACCCCCACAGGGCCACGACCACGGGGGGGAGCTTTGGCGAGGCTTACGCGCGTACCCATCCAGGGCGAGCGGGGTAGGGGGCAACCCTGGATCATATATAGAGCCGTCGCCACCTCCGCTTGAGACTTGGAGCGTTTAGCGGCGCGTCGAAGTGCTGGCATCCGGGTGAGACCTCGCCGATCCAGGGTGCTCCCAACCGTGCTCATGTCGCCACTTCCTGGGTGTACCCGCGGGGCCCAAGGAAGCACACAGCCCAGACGACTGGCGCCATGACGTCCTCGGCCACGGGGAATAGCAGCGACGCGCCGTTGGGCGGGGAGTCCACATGTCAGCGAACCTCCCCAGAAGCTCCAACATGTAGAACTGCTACCATGTCCTCGGACACTGGCACGCCGGTGTACGGCGTACGGCAGGCCCGTGTCGTGACAACTCCTGCGTTGAAGCCTCTGACACCGCGTGGGTTGTTCCACCTTGAGAGGACCGCGGCTTTCCGATCAACGGATCCTCCCATGCCGGGCGATTCTGGGCCACTGGCGGCGCTGATTTTCTGGATGGCACGAAGCTGCAAGATGCGAAACCACATGAAACCTCACCCTCCGTGGGGGAGACCAGCTGAGAGTCAACAGTCTTGTTTCTACTCCGAACAAGGGGCGACGGAGTGAGAGGATCGGGGCGACGGGGGCAAGGAGGAAAAGCCGACGGGGGCGGCGACTCCACCGGTCGCGGCTAGCGAAGCTGAGCGCGCGACGGTGAAGGCTCGCTCCGCCGAGCCGCGCGGCCGCGGCCGCGCGGCGAAGCTCCGCGGGCACTTCGGCCCAGCGGCGCCTGAGGGAGGCGTCCAGCGAGTTCCCGAACTCGAACGCATCGGGAAATGCACCCACCGCATCCGCACCTGCTCGGCGACGGTCTCCCCGAACGGCGCGATCCCCACGGCGAGCTTGTTCAGCGCGCCCTTCCCCTTGGAGGACGGCGCAGAGCACTCGCGGCTGAACGAACTCGCGCGGCACGCCACAGTAGCGCCGAACGACAAGCAGGCCAGCACGGGCTGCTCGCGGAACACCTGGCCCTCGGCCTGCGGCGTCACCCGCGACAGGCAGTGGGCCCGCCGATCAGCATCCGCGAGCGCGCGGTTGTGATCCAACGCCGCCGCCGCGATGCTGCCAGGGCACTCCGACTTGCGCTCCAGCCACCTGCGCGCGGCACACCACCGGTTGCCCCTGGGGCCACGCAGCTGGCATGCCAAAGCCGGCGCGCAGGGCGGTCGGCCTTGCCCGTCCTGCGCGCCTGTCGTCGCCTCCCACGGCCGAGCCCACCGCCGAAAACCACGTCGCGACGCCCTCTACCATGCGCTCGCTCTGCACCAGCTTCAGGCGGTCAGCGTGAGGCAGCCTGGCATGCGCCGCCTCCGATTTAGCCGCCTCATCGGCAAGCTCGTTGCAGTGCCGGCCCCTGTAGCTCACGACGCCGTCACGGATTTGCCTGCGGCTGCAATGGGCCTTGACCCATCTGACCGAAAGCCCGCTCTCGCCGAGGCCGCCGAACTCGTCGAGGAGCCGCCGCCGCACCTCGCGCCACAGGTGCGACCAGGTATGCACGCACGAGAACGTGCGTTCACGCCCGTCCTGCGCAAGCCCAAAGAATACGAACTTCGAGTCGGCGACGGCCGTGGCGGGCGGCACCGCGTGCCGCAGCACGACGACAAGTGCGATTAACTCGCCGCCGTTGATGTCCATGAAGGCCTCCGCCAACGTGCCAGAGACGCCCACGCGGGAGACCTCGCAGTTCGCCATCAACGCGACCACGGCCCAGCCCACGCTAGTGCACCTCGCGAACTCGCCCTCGAACGCGGAGCCGTCCAAGAACAGCTCGCCTGACGGCGGGGTCCGTCGCGGTCGCCGAACCAGCGCTGGTTGTCAGACCTGAGCGGCACGCAGTCTGGGGCCACTGCCCGTCGGCAGCCGCGGAGGCCCAGTAGCCGCGCTCCTCCGCCGCGAACTGGACCGCCGCGCCAGCGGCAGAAGGAAGGCCCTCCCCAGGACGGCCGCCTGGTGCGAGCGACGCCTCTTTGCCAGGAGCGGGAATTCCAGTCGCCGGAATGCAAAAGGTGCACCGGGCTTCTGGAGTTGAAGCACAACAGGAGCGGGATCTCTTCAAGACGCGGCGCCGCGAGACGCCGCAGCAGGCTCCTCGTCCTTGTCTTCCTTGTCCTCATTCGCCCTCCTCTTCGCTCTCCTCGCCTCTTGCCTGCGAAGGCCCCCCGACCACGGCGCGTCTGCAACGCGGCGCTACGACGAAACAACAGGCGCACGACGACGCAAATGATCGAACACTGATGGAACACGGCACCACAATATTGCCAACGATGTCACCCTCATGGTTTGGCCGATCGGTCTGGATAATCGATCGGTCACATGCTCTTGACTTGGGGGTGGCGGCACATTGGTTGGGGCATCTGTCTTCTGAGACTAATGCAGCTTAGAAAGATTATTGGCTCCACGCGCGCCAGACAATGCAGAGCGTTGCGGGGTCGTCCAGGTGCAAGGAACGAGCGGAACCCAGAGGCGGATCGAATTCACTCTTTGCTCAGGAAGACCATAAAGCACAATGAGACAGTGCGCATTTCAGGCGAGGCTGCGGTTCTGAAACACATGATACCCTCTGGGAAAGCACTCGCCGACGAGCTGCGCGACCCGAGTGTCACAGAGGAGGCCGCGGTGACACTTGCAATGTTTCACTGTATCAACGCGATCCTTGTTGGAGAAGTGGTCGCCTCAAAAGGGGGTACACTGCATGATCAAGCGGTCAAGTTCGGCCAGCCTGCAGCGCGCCGCCCTGCGCGGCGAGCGCCCGAAAGTGTTTCCAATGAGGCCGAAGATTCATCAATTGCTCGAGGTGGGCCTTGAAGCCTGAAGTGGTCACCAGCCCGAGACGCGCTGGACTTGCAGAGACGAGGACTTCGGAAGCACGGGCGCTCACTTTGCTAAGCGCGCCCAAGGGCTTCAGCGCTGCATGGACGCCCAGATTTGTCTCGCAGCCTTCCGCGAGGAAATTGTGATTGCATCGGCGCTGCCCCGCGGCCAGATCCAAAACAGAGGTCGTCATCCTCATCCCCCTCTGGTGCAGAAGGGGCATGCCGATCCGCTTCGGAGCTCCCCCCCCGTCCTCCTCGCGCCCCCGCCCTCAAATCGACGGTCGCCTTCCTCGTCCATCTTCGCCGCGCCGCCGTGTCGTTGTTTTGTCGGCCGTTTTTGGCTTCAGCGTCTGTGCAAACTGCCCGACTCGAATTCCGGAGTTCACCATAACAGTTGTCATGGCGGCATGAGGCGCTCGACGTTCGACGCGCGGCGCCCTCGGCGCTGCGGGCGACGCGGGATCCCGCGGTTACGTGCAGCGTTTCGGCGATTGCTGGTGGCATCGCTGCTGCCAGCCGCGCGCCCACGGCATCCGCCCCGGCCTCCGCAGGGATGCTCTGGAGCACGACGGGCCGGGGGCCGAGAGGCTGGTCGACGAGCGACGGGTGATCTTGACGGAGGCAGGCGCGGCCCAGAGCGGCGGGAGGGACATGCAGGCGAACCAGCGGCGACGCCAGCACTGAGCGAAGCCCCGCGCCACCCGCGCGCCCAGAATGTTGGGAGCCCTGCTCCCCCCATGTGCGCCCGACGCAGAGGAACAACAAAAAAGAGAGGGCGACGGCTCCTGTCCAGGAGGCGCCGCGGGGAAGGGAAGAGGAGGACGGGGGGGGGCAGCGGAGGAGGAGGAGGAGGTGGGGGGGGAGGGAGAAACGGGGAGGACATGGATTACGATAGGAACGCGTTAGGAGCAGCATGGAACCAACATGGCATCAATATATAGCCAAGTTGAACCAATCAGGGTGGCTAAGTAGCTGGTATGGAAAACCTCGGTCCTAAATTAGAGCAAACAGCGAATTGGACAGACGAATATGTCTGCCTTCATTGACACAAGCAATTAGAGCAAATTGGACCCTCAAAGAATGGGGAAAGGGCCGGGACTTCCGGGGACCCCACAGTGAACAAAACCAGACCGCGCGAGGATATCGAAATTCCGAGAGGCCTCACCGCACGGTCCGTCACCGCGCGGTCTTGGGATCCCAGAGGCACCAGTCGACCGAGACGTCCTCGGACAACGACCCCGACCACAAATCCCCGCTGACTCATCGCACGGTGTGGCCACCGCTGGCCGGGGTCCCCCGAACCAACCTCTTCGTCCCACGCGCCGGGATGGCTGGTGAGGGGAAAGAGACTGGCCATCGCTCGGACGTCCATTCCCTGTGTTTTTTTTTCGGTTTCGTGCGTGTTTTTTTCGCCAATTGATCAAGGATGCTCCTCGATGGTCCTCGCCGAAGGCAGAAAGCACACGTCCGAGCGATGCCAAGGAGAAGAAGGAGGGACAAAGGGGAAGAGTAGCAGGGAAGCCAGCAGGGAAAACGAAAGGGGAGTGGAGAGGGACAGGGAGGGAGACGACGAGGGGGAGGATGTAGAGAAAGTGGAGCTCGAAGAAGTGGCCGCCCCAAGCGATGGCAGTGCCAGGCGTTGAAGTCCTCGGCCTCCTTCAACTGCCTGGCCCTTGCCTCTGCCTCGCGGGCCTGTGCAGCGGAAGCGGGCGCACGGCTGCGTGCTGGACGGCAGGTTGTTTGTGGAACCTTCGAGCATGTTCCGCAAGGTGCTCTCGGCCGATCGCGCCACCGTGTCCTTGAGCCCTGAACAGGCGGCTCGCCCGAGACATCCTCACGGTATGGCCAAGACGGCCTCCAAGACGCCTCCAATGCATCCTGGCCCAGAGGGGGGCGCGAGATGACCCCAGCGTGCCTCCAAAAAGAGCCAGGAGGGACCCAGGACTGCCCAAGAGGGCGCCGAGAGGACCCCCAGGAGGCCAAGATCATGGACTTCCGAGGGGCGGTGCAATCGTCCTCGCGCTCCCGTCCTGGCCGTCGCTCGGACGTCCATTCCCTGTGCTTTTGTTGCCGGTTTCGTGCGTGTGTTTTTCGCCCTATGATCAAGGATGCTCCTCGATGGCCCTCGCCGAAGGAGAAATGCACGCGTCCGGGCGATGCCAAGGAGAAGAAGGAGGGACAAAGGGGAAGAGTAGCAGGGAAGCCGGCAGGGAAGACGAAAGGGGAACGGAGAGGGACAGGAAGGGAGACGATGAGGGGGAGGATGTTTTTTGTCGGTTTCGTGCGTGTTTTTCGCCCTATGGTCCTAGTCAAGGATGCTCCTCGATGGCCCTCGCCGAAGGAAAAAAAATGCACACGTCCGAGCGATGCCGAGCGTCCTTTCGGGGCGATCGACCTCCGAGGACGGCCCCCCCTATGTGGGCTGCCCCTTCCGGGGGCATTTTCTCGGAGCCGCTCGCTCGACTCGTGCGTCGAGGCCGCGTCGAGCGCCCGCCGACTCGAACCGACAGCGGAGCGAACCTTCGACATCATCGAATCGACAATGAATCGAACGTCCGTCGATCCGAATCGGCAATGGTTCGAATCGATTCGCCTCGACAAGGGATCGAATTTGAGCCGAGCTTGGACCGAACTGGGGCCGATGTGGAGTCAAACAGCTCCGCTCGGGCATCCAACGTGCGCCTCTAAGACGGCCCCAAGACGGCCTCAAGAGGGGCCCAACGCGGCCCCACAGACCACAGAGCGCTCAGAGAGCACCTCACGACGGCGCGGCCCAGACGGGGTTCCACAACGGCTCGGCCAATCTGCGGCCCACGGTGTGGCCGCACGGCCGCTTCCGAAAGGCAGCGAGGGCGGCGGTGATTCGCCGTAAGCGTTTTCGACACTTCCCATCAGCGCATACGCCGGCGTGACGGAGTTGGCTCCGATCTGGGAAGGCGCGGCACCGTGGAAAGCTTTTGCCTTGACAGAACTGTCGAAACAAACGATGTCATACTCCGCCCTCGATCAGCGGATACACGGTAGGGAACTTTTGCTTAGCGTCTCGCGGCGGCGTCCACAGCGACACGCTGTGCCTTGCATGAGATGAGGCGACAGTGCAAAACATAATGCAGTTTGCGTTACGGCGGGATCTCCGCTCTCCTTTTATTTGCCGCACCAGCACGGCGCCTGACGTCCAACTCGTTATATACAGGGACGTGTGCGTTTTCCGATAGGAATGGGAAGATGATTCCCTCTCGGCGCTCTCTTGGAGGTCGTCTGGGAGCGGTCTTGGGGCGTCTTCGAAGACTCTGGAGCCGTTGGACACGCCGCGTGAGCCGCCCAAGACGCCTGGAACCCGTCTTGGGGGCGACCCGTGGACTTCGTGAGCCGCCTTTGCGCTCCAGGGGCGAATCTGGGGCCTCCGAGATCTGCGACCCAGGTTCAGACCCGGGGGGGCCCCGGGACCCGTCCCCCAAAATGAGCGCCCTGCAGCGTCAGGTTGGGGACGAGCACGAACCAGAGGCGCAAAGAGGGCCGGTCCTGGTGACCTCGCACACCGGCGAGCGCGGTTGAAACGTTTCCTCCTGTGCATCGCATGCAAAAGGGCCCCCTAGGGCCTCGAGATCAGAAGAGACTGGCCGCACGACTTCTGCAAGTTTGCGAAATTTTTCTTGCCAATGTTGTTTACCGGGTGAGCTCCACCCAATACATGATCTATTTGTTTGCGACGACAAATCCGCCGACCCCAGAGGCGTGTGAGGAAAAGTTCTGGCTCCCCACCATGCCCCCACCACGCTCCGGTATCCCCACCCCATGGAGCCTCTGTTTTTGGGACCCCCCACCACGCCCCCCACCACGCCCCAGCACTCCCACCCCATGGAGCCTCTGGTTTTGGGACCCCCCACCCCGCCATCTCTCGCCCAAAACCGACCGACACCCCCCACCACGCCCCCAACTGCGCCCCGGCACTCCTACCCCATGGAGCCTCTGTTTTTGGGACCCCCCACCCCACCATTTCTCGCCCAAAACCGGCCGACACCCCCCACCACGCCCCCCACCACGCCCCGGCACTCCCACCCCATGGAGCCTCTGTTTTTGAAACCCCCCGCCCCATCATTTTTCGCCCGACA